GGGGGCCCCCCGGGAGGGGTGACATCCAGGGCCAGCCCCCCCCCCAGAACTGGCGTTGGAATGTACCTTCGGCCCCTGCTGGCCGCTGCCGGGGGAAGTGGGGCCTCGGGCAGGTAGACAGACAAGGGAGTGCCCCAAGACCAGCCCTGGCACCAAGCTGGCATCCAAGGGGCAGCCCCCCTTCATCTTGCCAGAAATCCTGGGGAGGTGGTGACTGGGGAGGGCCCTTCTGTCCCTGAAGCACCACAGTCACCGCTTTCCCACCCCTGGCCCAGTGACAGTGGGAAGCCGGGGGAAGTGGGGCCTCGGGCAGGTAGACAGACAAGGGAGTGCCCCAAGACCAGCCCTGGCACCAAGCTGGCATCCAAGGGGCAGCCCCCCTTCATCTTGCCAGAAATCCTGGGGAGGTGGTGACTGGGGAGGGCCCTTCTGTCCCTGAAGCACCACAGTCACCGCTTTCCCACCCCTGGCCCAGTGACAGTGGGAATGCCAGCTCAGTCCTTTCTGGAAGGCGCCAGTCTGTCCGCCCAGCCCTAGGCATTGTCCCCTTTGGCCTGGGAGACAATGTGACCACCAGACCCTCAGCGGGTGCCGAGCCATGCCCACACCAGCCCAGTCCCCCCACGAGCTTCCTGGGAGGAGAAAGCACCGGAAGCACCCCCAGCCCTCAGCCTTGTCGTGCCTTGTCGCAGCCGTGGGCGGTGGGGGGGGATGTGCTGGGGTCAGGGCCCACATCTCTGCTGTACCTCAGGCCGGCAGGACAAGGTGAGGTGCTTCTTCTGCTACGGGGGCCTGCAGAGCTGGGAGCAGGGGGACGACCCCTGGATTGAGCATGCCAAGTGGTTCCCCAGGTATGCGATGGGCGATGAGTGATGGCCACGGTCAGGTGTGAAAGCAGGGGGGCTGGCCCAGATCCTCCAGGTCTCCCCCCTCCCCAGTCCCAGGGCATTGGAGGTCCCTCTGGGGGGCCTCTGGGGCACGCATGCTTCCACAGTGACTTCCTGGAAAACAGCCTGCCCAGCACGTGCAGACAGGCAGGGAGCCCTGGGCCCACTGCAGGCAGAGTCCACCCCACGGGGCTCGCGGGCGGGGTGCCTGGCCAACAGCCCCACTCTGTCCACAGCACAGGAACTTTTTCCTTAGGTGTCAGTTCTTGCTCCAGTCCAAAGGGAGGGCTTTCGTCCACAGCGTCCAGCAGTCTCCCCCTCACCTCAGCTCCTGGGTGAGTGCTGCCTGCCCCGAGGGGCCTCAGGGCTGGTCGCTGTGGGCCTCCTCTTACTAAGACAAAATGTTCTCTGGCCCCTCCCAGGGCCTGTGGGAGGAACCTGAAGACGCCGCCCCCCACACCCTCTCCGGTGAGAGCACATCACAGCCCATGCCACTTCCTAGCCACCATCCCCCTATGCTGTGGCCAAGGCCACTGGGTGTCCACCTTCCCTGGGGAGCAGGGAGAGTGAGGCCACCTGGCAGGGAGTGAGGCTACTCCCTGGGGCTGCCATGTACTGTGCACATCCACAGCACTGCCCTGTGCTCCCGAGCGGGTCGGTGTGGGCACTGGCTGCCCCGGGGGTGCTGCCAGCGCTCCCTCTGGAAGCTGACTCAGCTGCAGCCACAGCCACAAACACAAAGCCTGGGAGGGACTGGGTGCTGAGTTGGCCCCGGGGCGAGCCCAGGGCCTCTGGAGCATAGTCTCCCAGGAACTCGAGGGGCCCAAGGGGTGGGGGAGTCAGACCCTCTTCTTCCCTCCACTTCTGACATTGGCAAGTGACTTCTGAGCCACAGTGCTTGGGTGCGGGTGTCCAGGTGCAGGGTACCCAGGTGCAGGGGTGCCTGGGTGCAGGGTGCCCAGGTGTGGGGCACCTCGGTGTGAGGTGCCCGAGTAAAGAGTACCCAGGTGCGGGATACCCAGGTGCAGGGGTGCCCGGGTGTGGGGTGCCTGGGTGTGGGGGTGCCTAAATACGGGGTACTCAGATGCAAGGTGTCCAGGTGCAGCATGCCTGGGTGTGGGGTGGGGTGCCCAGACGTGGGGTGTCTGGGCACAGTGGTGCCCAGGTGAGGGGTTGCCTGGGTGCAGGGTGCCTAGGTGTGGGGAGCCTGGGTGTGGGAGTGTCCAAGTACAGGGTACCCGGGTGCGGGAGTGCCCAGGTGCAGGGGTGCCCAGTGCCGGATGTGGGACTGGAAGGACCACGTGGTGCCCCCAGTACAGCGCCTGGCCCGGGAGGCCCACCGCAATAGCACATAGCCCCACCTGCGCCCAGGGCCCCCACAGACAGGATCTCGGAGCACAGCCCTCTGAGAGGGCCCGACCCTGTGATGTGTCCCCGTGGCCATGGCAGACTGGCCCCTGGTAGGGAGGGTGGCCCCGGCCTCTCTCGCCCTGCCTCGCAGCCTCCAGGGTAGTCAGGTGGTAGAGGTGTGGGCCGTGCTCCCTGGGCTCTGACCAGAGCCTGATGCGGTGCCGGTGCTGAGCAGGAACCGTGCGGGTACAGCTGGGTGGTGCCCGCCTGGCCCTCCCCGCTTCCTGCCCTCACCCGTGTGCTCTGCACACAGTGTCTGTGGCCCCCAAGGGAGGCTGGCTGGGACTGGGGGCTCCTTGACGATTCCTCAGGAAGATGCGGATCCTGCGTGCTGGGGGAGGGATGCCCTCCAATCTGCAGCCCTAACTGAACCTCACCAGCATCTGGGTCAGGCCTTGCTGTCTCTCCAGGCCAAGGCTTCACGTCCATTCTACCTGCCCACAGCTGCTGTCCACGAGGGCCCCGAGCTGCCCACACCCTGTACAGAAATCCAGTCCGAAAACGCCAGGGAGCCAGGTGCAGGCAGGGGTTGGGTAGGGCCAGGATCCCCTCCTGCATCCTGGGCCAGCCCTGAGGGGAGGCAGACGGCACTGTGGGGCTGGTCGACTTTGACATCAGGCACCTGGGGCTCTGCCCACCTCCCGCCATGAGCCAAACTGAGGGTGGGGGCGAGGGTCACAGGCTGCACTGGGCGGAGCCCGCCCAGTCAGTCCGAGGGTGCGGTGGGTCTCACACCCAGGAGCTGGAGATGCGGCGGAGCAGCTGCGGCGGCTGCAGGAGGAGAGGACCTGCAAGGTGTGCCTGGATCGGGCCGTGCGCGTGGTCTTCGTGCCGTGCGGCCACCTGGCCTGTGCCGAGTGTGCGCCCAGCCTGCAGCTATGCCCCATCTGCCGGGCGCCCGTCCGCAGCTACGTGCGCACCTTCTTGTCTTAGGCCAGGTGAGGCCCCCCATGTCCTCCTAGCTGGAGCCAGGCTGCATGTCACACTGCCTCGGCTCCCTCGCACGCGAGTCCCTCCTGCCACAGCACCTGGTGATGGGGCCGCGGTTGGGCACGTTGAAGGGTGTCTGCCGGGCACACTGCAGTCGGGGTGTGCCCTGTCCAGCTGGGCACACAGGGCTGCAGCAGGCCAGGTAGGCTCGGGAGGTGTGCGTGGGAACATAGCAGGCCGGGTTGGGTCTACCCCAGCAAAGACAGGCTCAAGTGAGGCATGAACCCCAATTACAGGAGAACCAGTGGGCGGGGGCAGGAGCCCCAGCTCTCAGCTCTCAAGAGCCTTGGAACCCCCAGAGGCACCTGAGGGCCCATCTGGTGGGTGAGCACTCACCGTCACCTACCCCATCCCGCCTTCTCCCTTCAGTTCAGGCTCCGCGGCTCAGGTGCACTCCTGCCCATCGGCTCACACGGAGCAGGGCTCTACCGAGGGTGGCTGCACTGGCACCCACTGCCGACCAGCTCGACTCCCAGATGGGAGCCCCCGTGTGGAGGGTGGGGGCAGTTTCACTGCACCTGTTCAGATGTTAGTGCAGAGCAATAAAGTGCTGGCTCCCTGGAGAGTGCGCAGAATGGCTTTCTGGGCTTGGCCTTTCCCACCCGCCCCCAAGGCAGGCCCTGCCCTGCTCACATCCCAGAGCCCCTCCTCTTCGGAGGAGGCCCCTTTCCCTGTTCTCTGTATTTGAAGGACTTTTAGAATGGACTAGTCTCAAGGCATCAGCCTGTGGCCTGCTGATGAAGACGACTGAATTGCACATGATCCACTGTGTGGTTCAAGTCCTGGACCTGGCAGCTTGCAACACACACCAGTTGCATGTATGTGCATGCCCAAAGTCCTGAAAGGAGGGAGAGGTGGAGAAGGGCCACAGCATGACTATACCCCACGGGGTACTCTCTCACCGTCCCCGTCTTCTCTCTCTTCTGTGAACACACGTGCCCTCTGGCAAATTAAAAAACAAAACCAGAAGGGACTAGCAGCAGTGCTCCTGCAGAGAAGGGCGTCCTGGGGGCCAGGTTGCTCTTCCCTTGCCTCCTGTGGACACTTGGGGGCTGCTTCAGGAATCCCTGTCCAAGATCCTTCTGCTAACAGCTACACCCCACAGTATCCAACAGCTCCCTGCTCTGTGTGGCTGCAGTCCCGCCCCGCCCGCAGCCCGGGATCCGGCCTGGCCACTCCAGCACAGAGCTCTACCAGGCCCTGCAGCTCCCAGGGTGCTGGGGGTGTGTGCTGACTGGGGGGAGGAGGTGTGACACCTTTCCTGTCTCACTGTCTCTTAGACAGCCCCTGTCCCCAGAGAAGGGCCTGCAGCCTGTGGGTCACTGCCCCCACACCAAAGGGAGCCCTCTACGGTGATCCGAGGCCCACTAGGAGACCCCAGTGCTGCCAATGGAGCCTGGGTATACGATCGTCTTCACTTTCTGTCTTTTCTTCCGCAAACTGCCACAGTTACAGCAGCCGCCCCGCTGCCCCACGCTGGGACCTGGGACCAGGGTGGGGAGGTGAAGGGTGTGCCTGAGACCCGGGGTCTGGGTCTCCTGTCCACCCTGTCCATCAGTGGCTGAAGCTGGATGTCCCAGGGGCAGGGGCAGATGCTTCCTTACCTATGACGGCCAGTGGCCCAAGGCAGGTCAGAGGCCACCAGAGGAGTGGCCAGGGTGGGCTGCTGTCTCCACCAGCTGCCAGCTGTGTGGACACAGCAGCCTCACACTTACAGTTGTCCATGTGGCGGCCTAGAGCTGCGACTGAAAAGCCCCCCCCGGCCCCCCATCCCTGCCTCCCCTGAGCCTGTTTCTGCTCCATAAGATGGAACAAGGGGAGTGCCCAATTGCAGATGCCCACCTCCTCAGTGGGGGACACGTGGGTGAGGACAACGGGCAGCGAGTTGGGAAGATGGCCAAACCAGCCTGGATGGGGCGTGGGGGCAGGGGTGAACACGAGGCCCTCACGAACCTAGCCCTGGCCAGCCCCTCTCCTGCCGCAGAGTCAC